ATTTTTTTTTTCCTAATATGGAAAAAAAACGATTTAAAGGGTTAGTTCACCCAAAAATGAAAATTAGCCCATGTTTTACTCACCCTCAAAGCATCCAAGGTGTGTATGACTTTCTTCTCCTCTTCGCATACGTCCTACATCATCCACCCGAGAAAAAATCATTTATAACGTCTTAAATATGGATATTTTTCTTACAAAAATACATGGATTCGCTTCAGGAGGCCTTTATTCACCCCCCGGAGCCATGTGAGGCACGTTTTATTATGGATGCACGCGCTTTATTTGACTTCTTTTGGACTGTTGAACAGAAACACATACCTTCTCCAATTCTAACGCTTGCAAGAGCCAGGATCATTTTTAATATAACTCCAACTGGATTCGTCTGAAAGAAGAAAGTCATATGCACCTAGGATGCTTCGAGGGACATGGACTAATTTGACTTAATATAGAAAAATATTAAAAACATTGTAGTAATGAGAGTAAAAAAATATTTTTTTTTTAATTAAAATATTGAAAAATATATATATTTTTTTTACTTTTTGTTAGTTAATGAATATATTCAATTCTACTGTTTGTTTGTTGTTGTTGTTTTTTTCCATAAATGTAATTTCCATCACGTCCCAAATCATTGTTTGTTCTCAGGTGGAAATTACATTTTAAACATTTATGGAATAAACTGCTTATTTTTTTTCTTTTTTTTCTTGCCAAGGCTTAATAGCATTCTATCCCTAATACACACAAGGAAATAATATTTATTTTTTTATGTAACACATTTTTGTCATTTTTTTTCTGTCATTTTTTTTTAATTAAGCTTAACAAAATAACATACTGATTGGAAATGAATAAAAATATGTGACATTGAATTTTCTTAACCCTTCACATTTTCTTCACGCCAAAATCGTTGTTGAAAATGCTAACTAAAACTTTGTAAAAATAATATAAAGTTGTTGCATATATTTTCAGTTTTTATTTATTGATTTATTTTAAGTTTTAGTAATTTTATTATGTTGTTTTGTCATTTTTATTAGCTTTTTATATTTATACTTGGTGTTAATGTATTTTTATTTCAGTTTTAGTACTTCAACTTACACTAATTTTATTTTATTTAGTTGACAAGGCATCATTTCTAATTGTTGTATTTCAGCTAGTATTTGTTTTATTTTACCAGAGCTATTTCAGTCAATGAAAATTATTTTTAGTAGTTTTAGGTTCATTAACAGTAGCAGCACTGATCAGTGTGTCTGCTTCTGTGTTTTAATCAGATCGTCGTACGAGGCGGCGCTGGAGTGGGCACTTCCTGTCCAGTTCTGTCACCTGCACGCTCTTCCTCTAAGCCCCGCCTTCCCACAGGACTGTGCTCGTGACGGACAGTGGCTCAACTTCCTGTTGTTTGTACAGCTGCACAATTACCCGCTACAACAGGTGTGTCCGCTACACGAGTCTTGTGATTGGTTCATTATTTGATCACAGGTTTTTGCCCTTTTTTTCATTTTAAAAAATCATAATTAAAATTTTAAAAATGATTAAAAAGATTATTTAATGGGATTTTTTTGTTGATTTTTCTTTTTCTTTTTTAAATATGCTGGGATTTTTTTCAAATATGGAAAAATATTAAAATATTTTTAATTGGATTAAAACATTTTTTTTATTTTATTAAAATATGGGTAAAATATTGAATACATTTACACAATGTGTTTAAAAATTTTTTTTTTTTTTGTATTTTTGTTTTATTTATTATAATATGAGGGGAACATTAAAAAACTTTTTTTTAATTTAAATATAGGGGGGAAAAAAATTATGGAATAATTTTTTCCTGTATTTTTTATTTTTATTATTCAGATAGGCCTATTTAAGAAAAACCTCACAGGTAACATGTTATCATTCCAAGGGTGTATAATTTAATAAGGAAGCTCGGGACATGCCCCTACCAATATACAGCGACTACTGAATTTTCCCTTGCCATAATTTTGATCAAACGATTAAATATATGTATATATAACTGCTGTTGTTGTAATTTCACTTTCAGTGGCGCACATTTAATACATGTGCAGAGTAAGAACATATAAGGTAGCCGAAGTGTTTAAAACATACGTGCACAGTCCAGCTGAATGATAAAGTTTACCCTCTTTGACTTTGTTGTTCTGCTGTTTTGTGTTCATCTGCTTCTCCCATTTGCTCTTTTTACATTGACTATCACTCTATATAGACTAATATAATCAGATACAACAATCATTTCTCAAACATTTATTACAATATATACTGATAAATGTAACATTCACTAAAATGGCATCAGGTGACTGGATTCTCTCAACTGATTTCCTCTTGAACTGTCACCAACTGCAGTGGTTAAACTATGTAAAATATAGTGAATTAAGCTACAAACTCACTCATAATGCACAATGTTTCCATCTAACATGTATTTTGAGCTGCAGCTCGTCATATTAATGGAGTGTTTCACTAGTTAGCAGTAAACCGGTTACCTCACCTGAATATGTTCGTAGATTTTGTCTTTAATGATATCTTTGGAATGGAAATATGGATATTTTATTTGTAAACCTCATACTTTTTCGATTTGTTTCAATTAGTCTAACAAAACTAGAGAACTAAGCCAGTAGTAGTACTAACAGTGTCGTGTAAACATGGCTGAAGACGCGACGGGAGGAAACGGAGCGAGTCATTTATGCTGGATTCTAACTCAAACCCCTAGACTTCCATCATTCACGTCAAGTGATTCACTAGCAAAACACAGTTCAAAAGAACCATTCATTTACGAATTTTGGCATCGCTTGGGTGAAACAGAGGCTATAGAAACTCTAAATCTAAACCATTGCGTCGCAAAATGATTCACCGTTTCAAAGCGCTCCAATTGGATCGAGTATTGCAAATCAATTTAATTCAGATCGGGACTTCAAATCGTGAATCATTTTATTTAGAACGGAACTTCAAATTGCGTATCGCGAATAATTTGATTTATGTCGGAACTTCATGTATCGCGAATCATTTAGTTTAATGTTATCTTTGGAATGGAAATATGGATATTTTATTTGTAAACATCATACTTTTTCCACTTGTTTCAATTAGTCCAGGGGTAGGCAAGTTCGGTCCTAGAGAGCCGCAGTCCTGCAGAGTTCAGCTCCAACCCTAATCAAACACACCTGAACAAGCTAATCAATGTCTTCAGGATTACTAAGGCTATAGGCAGGTGAGTTTTGTTTTCAGGGTTGGAGCTGAACTCTACAGGACTGCGGCTCTCTAGGACCGAACTTGCCTACCTCTGAATTAGTCTAACAAAACTAGAGAACTAAGCCAGTAGTAGTACTAACAGTGTTGGATCGAGTATTGCAAATCAATTTAATTCAGATCGGGACTTCAAATCGCGAATCATTTTATTTCGAACGGAACTTCAAATTGTGTATCGCAAATCGTTTGATTTATGTCGGAACTTCGCGTATCGAGAATCATTTGATTTATGTCGGAACTTCGCGTATCGCGAATCATTTGATTTATATTGGAATTTCATGTATCGCGAATAATTTGATTTATGTCGGAACTTCGCGTATCGCGAATCACTTGATTTATATCGGAACTTCACGTATCGCGAGTCATTATATTTTTATCGGAACTTCACGTATCGCGAGTCATTTGATTTTTATCGGAACTTCACGTATCGCGAATCATTTGATTTATATTGGAATTTCGTGTATTGCAAATAATTTGATTTATATCGGAACTTCACGTATCTCGAATCATTTGATTTTTATCGGAACTTCACGTATCGCGAATCATTTGATTTATATTGGAATTTCGTGTATTGCAAATAATTTGATTTATGTCGGAACTTCGCGTATCGCAAATCACTTGATTTATATCGGAACTTCACATATCGCGAGTCATTCGATTTTTATCGGAACTTCACGTATCGCGAATCATTTGATTTATATCGGAACTTCACGTATCGCGAATCATTTGATTTTTATCGGAACTTCACGTATCGCGAATCATTTGATTTATATAGGAATTTTGCGTCTTTGCGAATCATTCGATTTATATCAGACCTTCGTGTATCGCAAATCATTTGATTTATATCGGGACTTCAAATCATTTGATTAAGAACGGAACTTCAAATTGCGTATAACTTCGCATATTGCGAATCATTTGATTCAGATCAGGACATCGCAAATCATTTGATTTATATTGGAACTTCACGTATTGTGAATCATTTAATTCAGATCAGGACATCGCAAATCTTTTGATTTAGATCGTAACTGGGTCATTTCGTGAAATGAATGATCATTTCCGAAGTCCCAAAGATTGGGACAACAGAGCGTGGATTGTGAATCATTTGGTGCGGGTTCGCGAATCTTTTGATTCAGATCGGGATTTTGCAGCATGTATTGTAAACCTTTTTCTCAGATTTCTTTTTTTTTTTTTTTTTACAATACAAAAGGGTAGTGAATGACGTCCAGAGGCTCTAAAGGCCCAAGGTGTGCATTTAAGGGTTAAACAAAACAAAGCAAACAAACAAAAACGAAAATCAAACCATTTCTCATTTCTCTTTATTTCTTTTTAAGTAGAAAATCAAATGACCAGAAGGTGCACAGATGTTTTTTTAATAAAAAGAAAAAAAGATTATAAACATTTCAGTGTGATTAAATTTATTACTATTATTTTTATTTATTTATTTATTTTTTTTACATTTAAATCACATTCACAACCTGACTGTTGCACTGTCATTTTATTTAACATTTACAATAACAGAAGCTTTTAACTTCATATACTTTTGTTGGTTGGTCCAGGTCAGATCTCTGGCAGCCAGTTTCAGTCCGGCTCTGCAGTCGCACATTTCTCTGGCTTTCCAAGATCTTCATCCGACCAGCTCCCATCAGGCTGTGGAGGATCAAGGGAGCGTCGCTCGCACTCTTCCCCGAGACGAGAGCCCCGAACCCCCCAGAGAGCTGTTCCAGGTGCTGCTGGAGAGCCAGGAGAAGCCCAGTCCCTGGAGGTTCCTGCTGTCCGAAGCGGTCCGTCAGCGCAGTCCTGCTCTGTCCGTGCTGGCAGGCTGCCATCAGGTAAACTAGGGATGCACCGATCCGATACTCAGTGTTGGGATGTAACTAGTTACATGTAACTAAATTACGTAATATAATTACATAATAAATGTAATTGTAATCAGTTACAGTTACTGAGAAAAATTGTGTAATTAAATTACAGTTGCTTTTTAAAATGTTAACTCTCTCTCTCTCTCTCACTCACTCACTCACTCACTCACACACTCACACACTCACACAC